AGACAGACAGACAGACAGACAGACAGACGTCAACCTCTGGGCTGGGGCAACAGCTCAACTGCTTAAGTGCCTGCCTGGCAAGTTCGAAGTCCTGAGATCCCCAGTACCAAAAAAATAGTCAACTTCTAAATCACTTAGTTCTCATTACTCTGTTTAATGTCATGCAGATAAAATTTATTTCATCTACCATACTCATATCAAACCTACTTTCCATCTGGGCATGGTGGTTCAAGGCTGTAATCCCAACATTTGGAAGGCTGAGGCAGGAGAATCCCCAGGGGTTCGAGGCCATCTTGGACTACAGTACAAGATGCTGTGTCAAAAAACAAAACAAAAATCTGCTTTCCATACCACTAATGACTTTTTCTTTAAAAAATAAGAAAAGACCAGATTTCTTTCCCTTATGTTAAAACCTACTCACAAAAACACACATAGTCTGAGAACACTGAGCTAAACCCCTAGCCCCCCTGACTAATAGGGTGTAAGCACTAACTTCCCGCTCATCTTGCAGAGGCCTCCCTACACCTGGGTCTGTCCAAATGGGTCTGCCTGGCCCTGGTTTCTAAGGTAGTGCTTCTCACGTTTCAATGCATGTCTCATTATGTCTCGTTAAGACGCTTATTCCAATTCAGGAGATGTGGCAGTAGCCTGAGATTCTAAGAAGTGTCCAGCCTAGCCAGCAGTGTGATGGACCACATTTAAAAGTAGCAAAGGGGTTACCTTAACAATGGCCCTGGAGTCCGGCAGTAATGGCATCCAATTTTTAAAAGGCAAACACAGTGTCAAATGCTCCGAGAAAAAGGATGAGTCCTAAGCCAGAGGTGACTGAAGAGCAGAAACAGGAAATTCTGAAAGTTTTGGTCTCTTTGATACAGATTAGACTGGGACCATCGATGTAAAGGAACTAAAGGTGGCACTGAGAGCCCTGGGCTTTGAGCCCAAGAAATCAAGAAAATGATAAATGAAATTGATAAGGAGGGGACAGGCAAAGTGAACTTCGTTGACTTTCTGACCATGATGACTCAGGTAATATCTGAGAAAGACACCAAGGAAGAAATCCTAAATGTTTTCAAGCTCTTCGATGATGATGAAACTGGGACAATATTGTGCAGAAATCTGAAGCATGTGGGCAAGGAGCTGGGTGAGAACCTGACCATTGAGGAGCTTCAGGAGATGACTGATGAGGCCAACTGAGATGGAGACTGCGAGGTCAACGAGTAGGAAGGAGTTCCTGCACATCATGAAACAGACCAGCCTTTATTGAGACCCATGTCATGTCTCCTGTTGCAAGTACATGTGACTAGAGTAGTGCCTGCTGCCCTGTGAAATTTGGTCCCCATTTGCCTGTAGAATTTCAGTCATGGCCTTGAATCTGATTTGGACTTCTGAAAGTGTTTTTTGATATTAAAGTTCTTTGTAAAATGAAAAAAAAAAAGCAGCAAAGGACTTCTGGTCAGGACAATCAGAACTCACAAACCAAGGACACAGTATTCCACAATTCTCAGGACTCAAAAGCAAAATAAAAGCAGCAACGGCCAGCTGACTCTGTTTTGAGGATGTTAATAAGTTATGCAAACACCAATGTTGATTTCCATAAGGAAAATGACTTAAATATAAAATAAAATAAAATTTGACATGAAAAGACTATTATCACTTTCTCAAGATTCAAATAGCCTCTCCATCCCTGAAATTCAATTTCTTTATGCTTTTTTCTGATATAAAAGCTCATCTATGCTAGAACACAGGCTTCCTTTGGGTAATGAAAACACATGTGAAGATGATGCTGGTGTCTCTGGCTGAGATGGACTAAGAGAAACAACACACCATTCTAGGAGCTCTAGAAAAGTAGGCAGTAACTGTATGACAGACAAAATAACCAAGCACCAGTGTTTTTGCAAGGCTGATGTGCCTTCTGTAATTGTTGCTGATTTATGGGAAGTCTGACCTTTAAGGACTGAACGCATGAGCAAACCATCTCAGGGACACTTCCCATGTTACATTCAAGGCTTTATACAGCAGTGACAACAATGTGTCCCAAGAAACCGGAAGTACTGTGGGCATGTGGGTGAAACACAGGGCTGGAGCCAGACAAGCAACCCTGCTGCCCAGATCCCTGGGTCATTTCACCCACTTGGGTGACCTTGCTCACCCAAAGGTCTTCTAAATGAGCATACTACTTCATCCTCTGCTAACTCACATCCAGTCCAGTATTCACTCCCATGTGCCCTAGAAGGAGCCATTCTTGAGACTTAGAAGTAACTGTTGATTCACCTAAATCAGTGGTGAGGAACCTACAGCATGCATGCCCCAGTGGACTATATCACTGAAAACTCGAAAAGGTTTTCTGTCACAGACCCATTGCCAAAGATAGTTTTAAAAGCATAAGTATGAGATGTAATGGTCGTACCACCAAACTGACCAGCTCTGGAATCACTTTAACCTGAACTTCCAAGGACAGACAATACATTGGTGCTTGACTCATTTTGACTTGAAAACTGGTCCCTGTGGTCACCGTTTCATACACCAGAAGCATGCTAAAACTTACTGGTGACTTGCTGCCCTTTATAGTCAAAACAATTTGGTATGTGTCAAAACCAATTAATAACAATTACCAAGAACCATCGTATGTTAAGTGTACTTTCTTGCAGCCAAAAACATTATGACTGATCCACTCTCAATGACATAATGAATAAATTCTGTATTTACTGTTATTCAAGTTATTTCGAGCACATTTCTAGGGTCTGCTATGTTACCTCGTATAGCCAATAGCTAGCCTTGTATTCCAGTAGCAATTCTCAGAGACAGCCTGGTGTATGTGACTCTAGAACCTCTCACCTAGTACCTTTAAGAAGTAGGCAGTCAAAAAGACATATGGCCATGTGCCGGGAGAGAAGAGGAGAATTCGATGACTGAATGAAGCAACTCACTCCTCACACCTGAAAAGCTGCCAGCAGGAAAGTATGGCTTCTCCTCTGGGGAATAGGAACCACTTGTTGAGCAGTGTAAGACTAGATTCTACATCCTAATTCAGCCTTAGTCTTCACAAGAACCCAGGTAACTGATGTAAGAGCACCCAGGTGGCTCCATGGATCACATTTTCAGAAAGACCATTTGTTCTCTCCAAGTTTGAAATCCTGAATTTGTTGTTTTCACTCAACACGGCCACCTCAGCCACCCACAATCCCCCTACTCTTCTGCTGAGACCATGCCTGATATGCTCTGTTCTGACACAAGGTCAAGAGACAGCCAAATGCCAAGTATTTCCTTACTGACTTTGTATTTATAAAACAAAATGCAAAAGCAAAAACTGCCATTCGTCTTGGTTATGCCCTGCGGTTTACACCCACGGTCCAATCCACTCACCATCAAGTGCCACGCTTTTCCTTTGCCCACCACCACCCAAGTATTATTCCGAGAAGCGTTAAACACGGTCGGGACCTCAGGACACACCCGGTAGACGCAAGCTCGGTTGCCTGGCATTGCTCGGTCCATAACACTCCTGTTCCCAAAGAAGCATGCATCCAGTACATTCCAGCATAAACGCGGCGCCCACTGGCCAAGAAAGAAGCACATCCCCAAATCCCCCTTCTTGCGCTCACTTCCATCCAGTCTGGGCTCGCCTACCTGAAACACGTGGTGAGCTCGCCAGAGGGCTTCAGGCACGGGTATTTGGTAGTCTCGATTTTGTTTTCTGCGCAGATTTCTCTACAAAAAAGTTGAACAGGGAGGCTGAGGATGATGAGCAGGAGCGGAGAGCAGTGTGTGCCCCCGCGTCTGCGCCTGGGCGCGCGGGGCAGAAGCTTGTCTCTGTGCGTTTACGCGTAGCTGACTCGGAGGCCAGGAGCAGCCAGGCAGGGTCGCAGCACCGCGAACTCAGCTCCAGGAGAAAGGCAGAGGCAGCTACGAAGAGTACCGCGGCGCCCGAACCACGGGTAGGGAAGCCCAGGTTAAGAACGAGGAGACTGTTACCCAAGGGCACAATTAGAAGTCGCCAGGGGAGAGGTGAGCAGCGGCCTGCCGGAGGCGGGAGGAGCAAACGAGCGCGAATCGCCGCGGAGGTGAGCAGTGGGGGAACCGCCTGCAACCGCGCACAGCGCAGAGCAGCGCACCCTCCGCCCGGGCTGGGACACTTACCTGTCGGCGTCCTCTGGCTCCTCTCTGTAGGTCCACGAGTGTCCCAGCGCCAGGAGCAACAGCAGCGGACCCAAGCTCCTGCCCAGCTGCCCCCTGACCGCTCCTCCCCGGCTCGAAGGAGGCGGCGGCACCATCAGGGTAGCTCCCAGCTTCTTCCCAGCGCCCAAGCTCGCTCTGCCTGCCCTGAGCTCTGCTTCTCCGAGGCGGCCGCCGCTTTCCCTCTCCCCAGAAGGGGACGCCGGAGAGCAGGGGTGCTTGCGCCACCTGCACGCCACCCTGGGGCTCTGGACGCTAAGCGGCCAGGGTTGGGTGGGACGGAGGATCTGGGTAATAGGAGTGGGATGCTGACTGCAAACTCGGCAGGGAGGCAGATAAAAGTGGTTCGGGTGGTTCGCGACCGGCGCCAGGATCCGGGGCCCCGGGACGCTCCCTTTGAATTGACACACTGGCTGGACTGGGCTCCGGGCTGCCCTCCCCTGGTCCCTCTTCCTCCTCCCGGAGAGGAGCACTGGGTGTGGTAAGCGGGCGTTGTTTGCATGTTGCACCAAGGTCGCACGCCTAGGAGGGGGAGGAGCTGATTCTCACCGGGGAAGCGGAGGGGAGGAGAGGAGAGGGCCGAATACGCTTCCTTCCTGTTGTCTGTTGATTTCTAAAACCCACGGCCAAGCCCACGTTTGCGTTTCTCCCTTTCTTCTCAACGATCCCGGGTTTTATTTTATCCTGGAAATATAGAAGGAAATTGAGAGGCTACAAAGGATTTCCCGAAATTGATTTTTGCAAATGTGATATAGCCCTATCAATAAAATGTAGTCTTCATTAAAATTCCTTGGGTGGGAGTCCTCTAGTCTTTTCGTTTGTTTACAAGCTATGCCGCGGTTTTCATAATTCAAGTTGGAGACAAGCAAAGTTTCACAGGTGGCTCCAGGAGTTCTGCGACGTCCTGCCCTGAGTTGCTTTTCTGTTTTCTGCCTTATGCGCAGCTTGAGGGCTGGCAGTGCCGTGTATCAAGATAGATAGCTGAGGCCAGGAGGGAGCTCCGGTTCCCCCCAGGTCCTGCTCCCTCTAGTCTATTCAGCCTTGCTTGTAGAAGACCTGAAGAAGTGTGGTAGGGAGCAATTGTAATGTATCAAAATTGCCATCTTAACGCTGTTGCCCATTACAAGTTTTCTTTGCTTGTCGCAGAGAAATTAGTGACCGACATGCACCACAGAGCCAAGAAAGTGGGTGTGGCCCAGAAAGTAGTTTGAAAGCAAAGGGTTTGATATTAATGCTCCACCCCACATCGTGTGTTGCACGTCTCAGGACAAAGTGAGACTGCAGTGTGTTCACAAATTACTCACGTGCACGTTTGTCCCTAAGCAGCTCTTTTGATCGACACAGTATTTTGGCCTGCTAAAAATTACCCCACAAATCTCATGCACATTATCATTTTCATAGCAATGACATCCGAATTCTTCTCTACAATGCTTTATATTTTTCAAAAGTTGTCCATATTTATGATTTTTATCTGATTCTCACAATATCCCTGGAGCCTAAGGATCTCATTTCTTAGTTCAGTGAGGTTGGTTTTTCTTTTTCCTACAGGACTTACATAGAGATGGGACACAATAAAGCACACTTCATATTAAAATGTATTGTTGCAAAAAATATATATTGTTGCTAGTTAACAAGACCTAATTACCAAATAGTAATTCAACAGGCACTTCAGAATCTGACAGAACTTGAGAGTAACTCCTATGGAGTCTGGAGAAAACCTGCCTTCTAAGCCAGGCAGGATGGGTTTGTATGTGAGCGAGTAGCCTCAAGATGTTACTTTCCCTTTCTGAAATTCTGTTTTCTCCTCTGTGAAGTGGAGGGCTCTGCCTCACACATTTTCTAAATATCAAATGAAGGAATGCAGAAAAAGCAGTTGTGCACCAGGCCCAGCATACATTGTGTGCTCAGTGGATCTAATTCATTACTTTAACATAAACTATAGCATCACACAGAAATTTAGATTTTAGGTTTCTTAGTTTTGTAGCTGTTTTCTATGTAGCTATATAGGAGTCTGTTTGGGCTTCTAAAAAGAGACCTCACTAAGCCCATCCTGGAGCTTGTGAAAAATGCATTACTTTAAATTGTCATAAGTCTTTATTCTCCTCTTGGAAGGAAGAGCCATCCTGCATGTAAGAGGTTCCATTTTTTATTCTCTATTTTGGCATCACTTACCTTCCTTTTTTGTTTCCTTGTTTTCCTACTATTCCAGTGTGGCTGTTAGTTCTACAAGGAATAGAGCATGAAGTTAGAGAGCAGTTGGCTTCATTAAATGGTGCTCAGTCAGGCACGTGTTTGGACATGCAGATTTTCAAGAGAAGTAATGCAAGCTGCAAAGTGATCAAAGCAGAACCACATGCACTCCATAATATGCAGCTGAGTGGTGCAAAATTGCAGAGAAGCCTGTTTTGCAGTCTCCTTATCGTTAGTTCCCTACACTGAGCATCTGTAAGGATGAACACTGGGGAAAGTGCCAAGATAAGAAAGCAGGCCAGATCTGACGGGAGGAATCTCATGGGTGGGTGGTCAGAGTATTTCTACAGGAGGTGAGCTTGCCACTAAGACCTTTTGAAAAGCTGTTGCCTGCGGGCCTGGAATTTCAACTGGTTCTCAGCTACTGATAGCAGATGTTTAGTGCTGGATGTGGGGGCTGCGCAGGAGAGTATGGTTAGGCTAAGGAGATGAGAATGGCCATTTATGGAGACCAGTGACTGAAGAGTTCAACCACACTGCAAAAGACAAACCTGCATTTTCTTAGCTTGAAGCCTGCCTGGAGATGCCAGTGTTGAGGCTGAGTAGCATGGACCTCAAGGGTTTCAGCTGTTATCTCTTTGAACCTATACTCTCTGCACAACTCTGCCTAACCAAGGGTCTGCTGCTGATGCTCTTCCCCATCCCCTCATGTGTGATCCACTAGACCAGCCTGAGGGATCTTGCCCCTTGCTTCTTTCACAGGAGTGTTGCAAAGATTAATGATACAGAGCTCAATGCTCCTGAATGGAGGCCTTGTGTAGTTATTTCTTTTCAGCATACCACTCAGCATTGTTTTCCTTGAAGACCTGTCAGCTGTCCTGAAACAAACCAGAGTGAATTTTTACACAGTTTACCTTGTCCTATGGACTTCAGGCTGTGCCTGGGGCTCCATTGTACAGTCTGTGCTATAAGTTAAATCTCTGGTGGCACAGGTATTATTAGGTGGTCTGTTGAGTGTTTTCTGGGAGCCAGTGAAATTGGCTGCCTGGAGAGTAGAGGCCAGCATTCCGATGCAAAGTGAGGGGTGAGAGTGCTGCTCAATGGTAGAGCTCATTTGCAGCAAGCATAAGCCTCTGGATTGATCTCCAGCACCACAAGAAGAGGGTGGAGGCAGAAAGGAAAAAGGAGGGGAAAAAATGAAAGGAAAAGAGAACACTGAAAAATAGGCCGGCCAAGGTACTCTATTTTAAAGGCTTCCAACATCTTATTAAAAAAAAAAATCTGCATTGTATTAGGGAAGAAAGATAAGTTACAGTAGAATAAAGAACAGACCACTCTATTAGGGACATTTCAATTTTCTATTTGTTTAAATTTTTCCTTAAAGATTTGTAGCTCACAAAAATATATTACTTTATAATGTGTGTACAATATCAGATAAAATGAGATAAAGCAGCTATGACAAAGGAAAAGTCAGGACTGAATAATAAAAGTGAAGGAATGCTAGCATTGAAAAACCTGTATAAGCAGAAAGTGTTGTGTTACATTTAAAGTGGATCACAAATCAGTTCTCAGATTCTGAAAAGTCAATTCAGTATAATTATGCAATCAGTTATAAGAGGTAAGGTAAGCAGAAAGGAAAGACCTATAAATTGCTTTTTTAAAAGAACAGTTTCCTGTTGGCCTCGCTGAAATGTAGAAACATTCACCTAAGTGTAAGGTGTTTTTCATAAAAACAAGATGCAACAAGAATGAGTACAGCTCATACTGTACTGAGAGGGCTCAAGATAAACCTGAAATAAGGAAGTTGTCCTAATAACTTTCCTTCAATTTCAGTTTTGACTGACATTCAGCCAGGTCTGCTTAGAGCATGAGGGTTACATCTTCAAAATGCTAAGCTGCAGTAGTCTTCAAGCCTTTTTTAAAAATTGTATTTGGTACAGGTTCTCACTATGCAGCTCAGACTCATAGTGATACTCCTGTTTTCAGCCTCCACAGTGCTGGGATTACAGGCATGTACAACCATGCCTGAGAGTGGGGCCGGCATGGCATGTGCTGCCGGAGATAGAATCCTGGTCCCTACACTTGCCTAAGGAAGGGCTTAGTCTGCTGAACTATCTCGTCTGCCCTTCTCCAAGCCTGAAGTACATAATTATAAAGAGCATGTTGAGTAAAAGGACATAAGAAAGAAGAAAAGGAAAAAGATGTATTTATGTATATATACATAGGACAGCTTATATAGTTGCACTACTAATTTCTGCTGGTCTATTGAAATAAAGAGTTCATGCTTAAAATATTTTTTCTTCTCCTTTTTAATTTCTTATAACTTTAAAAAATAATTTCACATGCTTATATCTGGTAATGTAAGCAGCTAATTTGAAGACATTATGCAATATAACAACCATTGTTGAATTCGTATTATTTTCTTTAGTGAAATATTGTATCATTTCTAATGATTTTTGTTCATTTATTTGCTTGTTTACTCTTTTTGGTCTCTTAAAAAAAATAAAAATAGTCTTCCTCCACAGCAACATGGAAGAACAGTAGACAAGGCCCTCTGCTATCCCATGGCCATGGGCCTCTACAAGGGTCACAAGGTGACTAAGAATGTGACCAAACAGGCACAGCCCTCAAGTTCATCAAGAAAAGGGTAGGGACGCATGTCTGCACCAAGAGGAAGTGTAAGGAACCGAGCTACACGCTGGTTGCCATGAGAAAGGCGGTTGCCAAGAAGGACTGAGTCCCTCTGGAATAAAGCTTTGCAGTAAATAAATAAATAAATAAATAAATAAATAAATAAAATAAAGACCACGGTGGTCCCACATCCTATACTCTCAACCCTGCAGTAAATTACCCTGGTCAGTGTTTCCTGTATGTTTGATGAGAGAAGTTATGGCTTGTATCTGGATGTCCTGCAATGCCTCATGTACTAATAAGAGGACCTTTTCAGATGTCACTGGATCTAGGGTATGTGGATATAGATTAAAGATGTGTGTTAACTAAACAAGTGTACTGACTTTTTCAGGGCAATTCTGGGTATGGATAATGGGAAGACCCATGCTGGGACTTTTTACCCTGGGTGGAATAAAATAGAAAGGGGGGCTTTATGCTTCTATTTTGCTGCCTCCTGCCTGCCCTGCCATGGGCTATTTTCTGTTCCACCATGCCCCTCTGCCATGCCATCCTGCCTTGGAGCTAGTCAACTATAAGTGGAAACCTCTACAAACAGAGCTAGAGAGTCTTCCAGAAAGATGGCAGAGTGCTGGTAAGAAGCAGACAAAGAACCTCTCTCAGATTTGTTGTCTGGATGATGGAATATGGCAATGTAAGGAGGAAATGAAGGAGGGAGGTGGGTCCTTCCCAGGGCCCAGGAAGGATCTGAAGTGAGAACTAAAGCCCACAAAAATTAAAATAATGACTTTAATGAAGAAGGAGAAGGTAGCAAATGACACTTTCTCCTAAGCCTAGACTCACTACATAGGATAGGGCAGCTCAAACCTGCTGATGCATAGTAACTACTATCTACCCTAGAGACTTCCACAAAGAAATGCAAAACAATGGAGTA